TCTTTTTATTTTGTCTGAGAATCTATCTCCCCATGTTGTGGCTGGAGAAAGACAGCTATAATAAAGAGTTTTTTACTACCCTGCAGTGCCGTTAATTGCCTTTGATGACTGATTTAATTGGGCCAGGTGACACAGAGCAAAGGTCCAGAGTGCAGTTTATAGAGAACCAATGGCCGTGAAGGAACCTCACATATATATACAGTAATTAGGAACAAAGGAGCAGCAGCATAGAATTGCTGAAACGCAGCAAAAATTCTCGGACTGAGGGACGGATTGCGAAGGACAGCCCGATCTCACTGCAGTTATTGTCAGGTTTAGCATGGGCTAAACTAACTATACCCACACTGCTGTATTATTTATTGTACATTAATAGTACACATTTGTGTTTGCCTCCAGGTGACTTTGCCGTTTTATTGAAGGCTGGGATGTCAGTGAAGCAAGCCATTGTGTACAACGTCCTCTCTGCTCTGATGGCTTATGCTGGCATGGTGATCGGCACGGCTGTGGGACAGTACACGCACAACGTCACCAGCTGGATCTTTGCCGTTACTGCTGGCATGTTTCTCTATGTGGCATTAGTGGATATGGTAAGAGAACCAAAATGCGGATTTATTTGCTTGCTAGTTGGGCTGCATAAATATGTTATAATTATTGATTGCTTGAAATGATTTATTACATGCCATCTTGGGGGCCTTGCATTCCACCGCACTGCTTGTCCATTGTTTTTCTATGTTAACATGCTCTAGATGGATGTTTGAGCATTATGCTCACGTCTCGTGTCTTTTGTAGTGTCTCATGCATGTCATCTATGATTTCTGACAGGCAGTTCGCTCTCCTGTGATGTGACCCTGTCCCCTCACACACACACACACACACTACGCGTTACTCTGCGCTGCGCAAAACTCCGCATTTGAACAGTCAATAGCAAATACTTAAACTAGTAACAAAACATACGTACAGTCGCTGATTCAGAAGCGCCAGATTGTCATAGCAAAGTCGGAATTGACCTTTTTTTTTTTTTTAGAAATAGCCTTTTGTGCACAGTCAGCTTTGTACTCTTGTTCTGTTGTAAATAAATCTTAACCAATGATTCCTAATTGCATCTACTTCCGGAAGGCCAAATAAAGTGCTTTTGCTTTCGCACTGAATCACACAGCGTCTCCCTGACATGGCTGCATCAACACTACTGCTGTTCCTGAAACCACGCCTTCTTTCTTTGCGTGCACATTTGGGCGGCATTATGCTAATATTTCCACATAGTGACCTAGATATGTGGGGGCGTGTTAGAACGAGCCGTTTTAGGTAGGCGTGGCTGACTCTTATAAAGAATATCTCTTTGAATTTGAGACTTTAGTCTTTGCAACTTTACAGATCTTCTTTATGCACCAAGAGCTTGTAACACTCCAAAGAGAAAGGAAAAATTGAAATCGCATCATATGACCCCTTTAAAAGATCTCTAGACCTTGCCTATTTTTATTTTTTTTTAATTCTACAGCCCCACATTTTGAGTTTTCCAATGCAAAAATTTGTGTGAATGTCCTAAGCTGACAACTGTTTGTGAATTCATTTAGTGCTGTTTTAAACATCAGTAAACATAGTCACATTGGGCTTCTAAACAGCATAAAAAGCACAATTATTCAAGTTTCAAATAAATTATACACCATATTATTGACAATATTAGAGGGCTTCCATTATAATCCCCGAAGCTGTCAGTCACTGCATGTTCACAATGTTTGATCCCTGCAGTTCAGCACAAGCTCACTGAGTTCTGCACTTCTGTGAACAATTAAATGATTATAATCAACAAAGCTGTCTACACTGCACAATACATTTCTTATTTACACTATTGACGCCTTGCTAATTATAATAGAAGCATTTTTTGTCCCAACACATTTTATTTTTGTCCCAAAACTGCAGCATGCAGTATATATTGGGTGTTACACCTACATACTGTATGTCTAAATTGCAAACAAGTGGTGCGACATCCAAATCCAGTATGATTCCAGAAGATGCACAAAGGTTTTTGCAATACATATTTTAATGTGCCATTGCGAACAGGTGTGAAAATTTTAAACAAATCTGTAAATTGAATGCTGCAATCGACACCGTTCATAAGTAGTTAATTGTTAGATCTTTTTTATTTAGATTTTGCAGCCCTTTCTCTAGATTATTGGTAATGCTTAATCTATATGCATAGTTTATTGTATATGCAGCAAACCTTGATTTTTGTGTTTGCTTTGTGTTTGTCGTGAGCTATCGATGTTAGAATGTTATTTCTCCTCTTCTTGTTCTTCAGTTGCCAGAGATGCTTCATGGTGACAGTGAGGAGCACAAGCGCTGTGAGATGGGTCACTTTGTCCTGCAGAACTTGGGCATGCTCACAGGGTTTGGCATCATGTTGCTGATCGCCATCTTCGAGGAACACATTGTGATTGACTTTGGCTTCTAGCCGGAGCCTGAGGTTAGGGGTGGCGTCATTCATCAGCTACATTCACACACGTGCTTTGCCTTAAAGTGGCTTAGTTTTGTGATGGTACAGTCTTGCAGGCATGTCTCAAAAGACAGCATCAGTAGCTTACAGTGGACATGGACATGCAAACAAATGTGTTTACATTTCATCATCTCTTCCTCTCTAGGCCACTCAAAACGGTTGCTTGTCGTCTTCACAGTCTTTTGTAGTTGTAGCTTCTAGATTGTTCTCTCTTGTCCTTATTCAGTTCTTTTTTTTTTTGAGTATGCGTGTCCAATCAGACATATCCACAGCACATGAGTAGCACTCCCCAGTATTTGGGTTATCCCTTTAATATTGTATTTTTTTTTTTTTTTTTTTTTTTTTGTAGGACTGTGTCCTAGAGAGAAGCAGCTATTCATTATTCACTCATTCAGTGTCATGTTTAGCTCTTTCATTCATCTGTATTGTATCTCATAGTCCATTAATTCGTAACTGGCGTGTTGTGCTTTGTATGTCTAGTGTGTCACACCATCTCAGTGTCAGGCACTGAACTGTGCTAATATGGTGCAACAGAGTCCAACTGGCATCAACTCTGCAGTTTTTTTTTTGTTGTTGTTGTTTTTTATTGAGAAGTACTGGTCAGTATTGTGTGCCAGGATCATGAAAAACAACACACTTGAGCTCTTTTCTTTACTGGATTGTGCTTTGCTGTCAACATTGACTACTTGTTTGTTTCTTACAATATATTTACTGTTCATAGCGATGGGAGCGTCCTCAGTCTTAGAATTTCATTCGCTTGTCTTTTTTATTTATTTATTTTTTTTTCTGTTATTATTGGCTAAGATTGTACTAGTGATTTGGCCAACTCTGAGTATTGAAGAAATAGGTATGCAACTCTGTGTTGAAAAACCTCTGATACGGTGCTGCCAAAAGAGTGATCGCATTCATGAGGTCAGCTGACTAGTGACTGAACAAGTCCAGTATTAAAGCTAATGCTAAAACACTGTGATTTTAAATGAAGAATATCTGTCCATCAAGAAATACATCAATTTGCTTTGGGAAGTCTATTTGTTCATTGATAAAATAGCAATTATCATGATCTAGTCTACTTTCTGAGTTGATTTTCATATCCAAGTGGAGTTGTAAATAATGATCTTGTTACAGTTGAAGAAGTTCATGAAATAATTATCTTCCCCAAAAGAGATTTGCTACTGAAGACTTGTGTTTTTTGTTGAAGAAGTTGGCATTTTGAAACACCTTCGTTACTTTATTTTAATTATATGACATGTTTGGTATTACTGGATAATTTGTGCAAAATTCAGAATGTTATTTTGTGAGACATCAGCACCTTTTATAAACTGACCATCTAAAAACTTGCTTTCTGGGAGAACCATTCCTTTTTTTTAACTTAAACATTGAGTTAGCCATTATGAAATGTTCTTTTTTGACAATCTTAAACGCTCTCGTTTGTTGACACCCTCCTATTATTAAAATTAATGCACACATTGGCCTTATGTGCACTTGTATGAAACTACAATCAAATCTATAGAATGTCTGTTCATCTGTCCCCCATTGATGTGATTCTTGTTAATGAGTGTGCAACATTTTGATTGTGCCAAATATGGGCTGCGTTCCTAAAATTGCGCACAAGCGCTGCCTGTGCCCGCAGTCGCCTCTACACATTCCACTGGCTGTGTTCGCTGCTTGAATCTTCTACCGTCACGAGTTGGTGGGGCATGTTATGTGATTCATGCTTATCCTGTCACCATGTGACATCCATTTATTTGTTCTCGTGGGTGTGTATCGTTATTAATTGCATTCATCAAATATACTTGATTGGATGGAAACATGCATGAGACAAGTGAAAGTGTCTAGTTTTCATTTCTGTTATAAAATGGAGAGATGAGAACACTTACAGTTGATTTCCTCTTTCCCTGAAGAACTTAATTTTCACAGCTTGAATGTAAAGCCAATGAGTTTTAGGGGTCATGTGAGCAAACCTAATCAGAGTCTTCAGAGATTAGGTCTAAATCCTGTGTATGTCTTTGAAATGAAGTTGTCCATTTTGTTAAACCGAAACCGAGCTCTAGAGCTCAAATGAAACACCTCAGTTAAGTGGTGCAAAGAAATAAACTTCTATGACGCACACCAATTTTCTTAATGCTTTACAGTGTATTCCAAAAAAGGACCATCCAGATATTTACTTACATTTGAGTATTGTCAGTTGTTTGGGAAGACATTTATTTTTAAATCCTCTGTTTACACAGCTTGGATGTTAAAGCGTTTTCAATACATTTGCCATTCTTGCTGATTGTCTGTGCATTTCTTTGTCAGAAGTGGAAAATAAAGTTTGCAAAGCCTACTTTGAGTGTTTCAGCTTATTAAAAATCTCTCTGAAAACGGTTCTACTCTAAAATATATATATATTATTTAAAATGTATAATTTATTAACTATTAAAAATCGATTAATTATATATTTTTATTATTATTTCTATTAATATATTTTTTTAAATTTTAGAATACAGGAAGACTTATTCATGTGTTTATTAAAAAGTATAATTTTTGTCTCTAGACAGACGGTATTTCTAAATCTAAAATATTATTTAGCTACAAATACTTTACTATAGAGTGAAGTAAAGGATACAAGAAGTGTATCTATGAGTTAAGCTGACACAGTAAGGCCACGCCACGACGGATCCAGTGCTCTGGAGGCACGTCTGAATTCAGGGTCATTGCTATGACGTAGTTGGTGGAGTGTCCAGTGGTGGAAAGGGTTCCACGTCTCTCGCTGGTCTTGTAGACAGGAGAAATGTAGCACTGACGCTCAGGAATGTCCTGCTTCTTCATGGGCTTCAGCCAGATCTGCAGATAGACAGTGTGATGTGTAGATGAGAAGCATTTTCTTTGCTGATCCTCTCTCCCTACAATCTGATTTGATTACTATAAATGTGTATTTTCAGTGTAATGGGATGTGGTTGGTTATTTCAACATTTCTGAGTCACTAAGAAAATGGTGGTGAATTAACATGCATGTTTCCCTTGTTGATAATCTAACCCATTTTCCTTGGCTTGGTATCCAAGATAACTCAAAAACAAAGAAGACTGTCACCAAAAACAAATTCAAAGCCCCAAAACCCCTTTATCAGAAGCACTTAATGTACCTCCTCTGAAACAAACAGGTACATTAAAAGTTGGTGGTTTTAATATGACTTATGGATGTGTTTATTTTCAGTGTTTCAGATGAAATGCTTTCAGCTGAAATTAATAATGGCCTTAGAAAGAAATTAGCATTTCAAAGTTTTACCGTAAGTAACAAATGCATGTTTTTAATTACGTTCAGCTCTTGTCAAAAAGTTATTTTGGTAATGAGTTGTCCTGAAATGTCTGAATATTAAACGGCAGTGAATGCATTATTTATTGTGGCAATGTGCATTGTGTAGAATAAAGAGGGCAGAATTAATAGAAATCTTTGTTTTCTCTTCCTGTTCTGTTAAGAATACTTAACCTATTTGAATCTCACCTGCTATGATATTCATGTCATATATAGACATAACTAGAATTGCATTCATATACTGTATTTAAATACAAAACAACATTTCTATTATGTAGTTTTCTTCTTAAACTTTCTTCAAGAGACCCAAGAGTTGGTTGAAGTACATGGGGATGAAAAGAGCCGTCTTCAAGGAAATGTGAAAAATGGGGTGTCAGACTCAGCACAGACCACCTGCTGAGTGTATGCTGCAGAAATTCAGATTCCCCTTAAAATGTTTTATGTATGTATTATTATTTGGTATTGAAGAAAGAATAAAGCAATTCTCTAGCTGTGTTGCGGCTACACTGGAATTAAAATCAGCATTTTTGCTTTCTTAATACATTATCAGTACCATTTTTTTTTTTAAGTGTGCACATTTGATTTATTTTTTAGCATTATTGTCCCTTGATTTAACATTTTTGCATGCTGCTGTGAAATTAGAAAATCTTTTCTCTCAAAATTGATTCTTGTTTCTATAGTTACTGTTATAGTTTGCCTATAGGCAAATAAATTTTTTGAACTGCACTGAAACTTTTGAATTGCAAGTATTTGCAGGTTTCATTTTTCAACCGACTGCTCATTCCAAAGGAATGACTTTCTTGTGACTTAAATCTCTGTGTGTAATATGTACCCACATCAGGGGCTATGCATGATGCCATCAGCCTCATTTGACTGAGATTATACATTTTACAGCTTCTCACCACAGGCATGGCGTCATGCAGGATTTTGGAGAAAGACTCTGCCAAGCGCTTTGTTCTCCGATCCCATCGGGCACCATCCAAGAAAACGCCACGGATGTAAACACCTGAGCAAAAATAAAAAAAGTACTGAGGATTAATAATTAGAAAAAAATGGGTACTGCATAAGGGCTTTTGCACTATAGGAACTAGCCCCCAAGCTACTACTAAACTAGCTTGGGTCCCCCAAGAACTAAATTTTCCCCTAGGGCCAGTTTCCGCCAGTAAGAACTCTTAAGTGACGTAATCTGGCTAACAACAATGTCATCTGAACACAGCACTTAACAACGTCAACAACTGGAGGATGGAAAAGTGCCTGGACTTAAGAGTCAGTCCATCGATCACTGTTTTCCATATTCGTGGAGTTAGTTTGTGGAGTAAGTGTATGCAAACTGTATTTAAATGGCTTTTTTAAAAATGGTGGAAGCCAGTGTTTCGTATGACATGCATTTGGCCAATCAAGAGCCCGAAAAAGGGTATTTATTGTTTGAATTTCTTAAAAGATGACAAAATTTGAAAGTTGAGACTACCTAAAGTAACCTACTCCGTCTTGTCTGTCAGCGCGTTGTCAGTTTACTCTTTGCTTTGCAATGTATTTTTCACTTATGTAAGAATGTGTGGCGTGAGAGCGGCATGGATTGTTGGACATAGCAACAGTAACGAAGGGGGGTGGGTCTTTGTGAAGGGTCAATTTAGTCTCCCCAAAAGGCATTCCTATAACTAAAATAGTTCCCAGTTACAGTAGTGCAGTGCAGACATGCCAAAAAAGCTTGTTCATTCACCATTGTTATAGGAACTATGCAAACGTACCTCCGGAGTAAAAGCCCATCATGAGAATTTTAGAATAAAATTTAAAATTAAAGGGAAAGTTCACCCAAAAATAAAAAAAATTCTGTCATTAATTACTAACCCTCATGTCGTTCCAAACCTGTAAGACCTTCGTTCATCTTCGGAACACAAATTAAGATATTTTTGAAGCATTCTGAGAGCTCTCTGACCCTCCCATAAACAGCAAGGATCCTAACAATATGTTGTGTACATTGTTTACGCTTTGATCTGAATGTAAACAACGTATCCGCGTACATACGTTGTTTACGTATGTGATACTCTCCAAAATGGCGCTATAGGGTGACGCGGAGAAGATGAATTGTTGAATAAAGTCGTTATTTCTGTTTTCTTTGCACACAAAAAGTATTCTCGTAGCTTTGTAAAATTACGGTTGAACCACTGATGTCACATGGACTATTTTAACGATCTCCTTGGTACATTTCTTTTCAAGACATGAGGGTGAGTAATTAATGACAGAATTTTCATTTTTGGGTGAACTATCCCTTTAACAAGCCAAAAACAGATATAGTTTAAGAAGTGAGCATGAGAATGTAGATGTAACCTTTTTTCTTAGTCTATAAAAATTGACTGCTGAAATCAAAATATATAGGGAATGTAAATAACTTTGCAAAGCAAACTGTTGAATCACAATTCCCAATGTCCCTACTATGCAAGACTACAGGACACACATTAAACCAATATCATGAAACCTGTTACCTTAAATTACTTTAAATTCAGAAGCAGCTGATTTTACATAGACTGATCATTGACCGTGTTCACACTTGAGTCACATTCATCCATCTTCAGCAATGGCTATAATTAAAACATACTGCTTTAAGTCAAACAGTGTGTTGTGGTGACTAATGTGATGTCTCTTCACAAGGACACAGGCTTAAATGGATGTCACTGTTTAAAGTTTAGCTGGGAGTGTAGTTTGATTGACTTGTAAGCTCAAATATTTAAGACACGAGGAGCTGCAAAAAATTTACTTAAAGTATCATTTTTGCATAAAAAATGTAAGAGTAGAAAATCCTCAAAATAATACTTGAATAATGAAGTACTTTACACCCCAGCACACAAATGCAAACTTACTAAAGACCCGTCCCATTTTATACACTGACTGACTGAACTATAAAAAACAAAGTATCTGTTAAAGTCAAAGACACTCATAAACAGCCTCATGCAGTGTGTGATGGCCTCAGAGAGATGGGTTTCCTCTGGAGAGATGCTCATCATGTACTGATGAAAGAGCAGCAGGGGTCTGATATCAGAGCACTGTAATGTTGACTCTGATTGATGGCACTCAGCCGCGGCGAGGGGTTAATGAAACTGTGCGTCTCTCTTCCCTTTTGTCACTTGTTACCCATTTCCCTCTCATATATTTTACATTTCATGCTTGTCAGTACTCCCTCTTTGTCTTTCTCACCATCCTCTGGGGGGTTTTTGTGTTCCTTGTCCTCCATGACTTCAAAGTCAAAGCTGAGCAGGTCAATGGGGATGGTGTATTTTCGGGCGTAATTCTGCTGGCTTCCAGTGAGGAAGGCCTGAGTGAAAAAGAACCCGGACATCCAGAATACTGCAGGCGTGCCACCCACATACCAACCCTGCGTGGATAACACAGATGATACTGATATTAAAGACCAAAATCAAGAAACACAAGCAGTCACAACTAATTCTAGAGGCATAACTTCAGGGCCAAAAAGAAGCCTTTGGAATGTAACAGGCTCAAAGTTTTATTTTTTTATTTTATTGAAAGGAAGGGTACTTGTATAATACATTTACAGTTCAGTCCTTTGCAGAAGCAGTGTTGTAATCTGAGCTCACTGAATGAGACAGTACGTCAGCTGCATTTCATGTGTTTTTCCCGTGGCTCACAATGCACACTAGAATGCTTTCTGCTTTAACTGCTTTATGTATGAATGTGCATTTTAGTCTCCAAACAACTCACTGGAAAACAATCGATTTGAAGTAAAGACTTTGAATTAATCACTATCAATTATTATGAAGTATTGTGGTTACATTTTTATTACAAACCAAAAATGTATTTATATAGCATTTGTATTCATATGGCAGTTATTTGAAATATACGTAAATCTTATGTACATTTCCTTACTGTAGCTCTTGGTAAATGTAATGCATCCTTGTTTAATAAAAGTATTATTATTTAATTTTTTTTAATAAAAACATCTTACAGACACCAAACTGAGTATTAAATGACTGTAGCCTTTAAAACTCAAAACTGAGTGATTACTGTGATTTCCACATGACAAAAGTGTGTATGGCACAAATTATGGTAGAATGAAAAGTATTCTACTATACATGCTTTATGGCAAACTTACTAAAGACCCGTCCCATTTTATACACTGACTGACTGAACTATAAAAAACAAAGTATCTGTTAAAGTCAAAGACACTCATAAACAGCCTCATGCAGTGTGTGATGGCCTCAGAGAGATGGGTTTCCTCTGGAGCGATGCTCATCATGTACTGATGAAAGAGCAGCAGGGGTCTGATGTCAGAGCACTGTAATGTTGACTCTGATTGATGGCACTCAGCCGCGGCGAGGGGTTAATGAAACTGTGCGTCTCTCTTCCCTTTTGTCACTTGTTACCCATTTCCCTCTCATATATTTTACATTTCATGCTTGTCAGTACTCCCTCTTTGTCTTTCTCACCATCCTCTGGGGGGTTTTTGTGTTCCTTGTCCTCCATGACTTCAAAGTCAAAGCTGAGCAGGTCAATGGGGATGGTGTATTTTCGGGCGTAATTCTGCTGGCTTCCAGTGAGGAAGGCCTGAGTGAAAAAGAACCCGGACATCCAGAATACTGCAGGCGTGCCACCCACATACCAACCCTGCGTGGATAACACAGATGATACTGATATTAAAGACCAAAATCAAGAAACACAAGCAGTCACAACTAATTCTAGAGGCATAACTTCAGGGCCAAAAAGAAGCCTTTGGAATGTAACAGGCTCAAAGTTTTATTTTTTTATTTTATTGAAAGGAAGGGTACTTGTATAATACATTTACAGTTCAGTCCTTTGCAGAAGCAGTGTTGTAATCTGAGCTCACTGAATGAGACAGTACGTCAGCTGCATTTCATGTGTTTTTCCCGTGGCTCACAATGCACACTAGAATGCTTTCTGCTTTAACTGCTTTATGTATGAATGTGCATTTTAGTCTCCAAACAACTCACTGGAAAACAATCGATTTGAAGTAAAGACTTTGAATTAATCACTATCAATTATTATGAAGTATTGTGGTTACATTTTTATTACAAACCAAAAATGTATTTATATAGCATTATAAATACAGTTATTTGAAATATACGTAAATCTTATGTACATTTCCTTACTGTAGCTCTTGGTAAATGTAATGCATCCTTGTTTAATAAAAGTATTATTATTTAATTTTTTTTAATAAAAACATCTTACAGACACCAAACTGAGTATTAAATGACTGTAGCCTTTAAAACTCAAAACTGAGTGATTACTGTGATTTCCACATGACAAAAGTGTGTATGGCACAAATTATGGTAGAATGAAAAGTATTCTACTATACATGCTTTATGACTACAGAGTTTACCTGTAAAAACTGGAGTCTTTCAAGAAAATCATTGATGTAGCTTCCCAGTGGTTTAAGGCTGGGATACGACTTCTTCATCCACATGGCAGGGATGCGACCCTTTAGAATGCTGCTTACAACTTCCTCAAGTTCAGCAGACATGACAACCAGACCCTATGCCAAGACACACACATGCATTCATTCATTGGTTTTGTGTCCTTTTACCTTGATTGTTTTAAATTATCAAGAGTGTTCTTTTTTATTCTTTATTTCTTTTTTAGAAATACAGTATCACTCAAAATCAACTTGGTTAAAAAAATCTGAGCACATTTGCAAGAACATGACACCTGTGTACATTCCTCATAGCAGTCATATTTACAGTATATTGCCATTTTCCCTTCTAGGGAAAAGTTACGTCGTCCTTTTCTTTATGTCTTTCTAAGTGCTGGTTTCAAAGGTTTGTATTTGATGTGGTATAGAGATATATGATCATGAATGATAATGAAAGGGTAAAGGAGAGAGGTTCCTCAGAGCAGAAATCAAGCTGTAGTCAGGAAAGATAAAGGGGTTAGATTATAGGATAAGGGTTCACAATGTGTAAATGAAAGCCAGGGTTGTGATCAGATCTCAGCATATGCATCCATCTCACCCTGCGGGGCGGTAATGCTAACTGGGATCAGAGCTGTCAGTCAAACTAAAGGACAAGGAGGCTCAGCTGGAGTGCACAGCATTAGGACATGCCCTCGGGCACAATGAATTTTCCTCGTATCTTTCAGCAGGGAGTGAATGTTCAAAAACTTTTCTTAGTTTGCATTGCTTCTACATATATAAAGGTTTGTGTGGAATTAGTAGCATAATTCAAAAATTGTGCTAATTTGAAACAATGGATCAACGCAAACAAAACATGCCTTTTAGAATAAAATACAACTTTCCCCCCCAAAAAACGTGATGCTACCATATACTCCTGAAAGCTAACTGAATGTGGCTAACTGGAAAAATCGGAGTACAATTTGTGCCTGGAAACCTGGAAACATGATCGATAGAAGTGCTGAACCTTCACAGTGGTTTTGCTCATGTTCTGACCTTGATGGCCTTCTGGATGTTGACACACGAATCCCGGATAGTCTGGAGGAGTTTGTTGAATCGTCCCATCTCCTGCACCAGCACTGTGTTCATGCTTTGGTTGTAGCTGGTGGGGTACTTGCGCATGGCAGCATCTGTATCGAAATCTTGAGGAAGTTTATTGAGAATGTCTGCAGCTACCTCGTACACCATGTCATCTGAAGATGCAGCACTGCCACCTGAAGAACGGGACTGTGAGGAAGAAATGGGGCAAAACATTTACTCAAACCGTTACAAACATCAAATAGGTCATTATAGTACTTTGAGAGCTACTTTAAACTAGCACTACTTTGCACCAATAATCAAAATGTGTTTATGCACCTGAGTGAGAAGAATGCTGTCAAACAGCAGCTGTGTTTCCACTTGGTCCTTAGTAATATCAGCATTGGCATTCATGCCAAAGATTTCAGGTGAGGGATTTAGAGGTAGTGTCTTGGTGTACTCAGTGTAGCTGTTATACTGAAAAGGAAACAATCAGCTTCTTAATGCAATACTAAATCCATGATGGTGATGCTAAATAATGGCATGCACTTAAAACAGGCTACCCTTGAGATTGCTGACATTTATAATAATGGCTATGCAAATTACATTCATGAATAAAAGATTTTGAGAGAAAATGCCAAATAAAATTGGGCATAGATTATACATGTGCTCGCAAATAAATCAGACATCACCACTGGCAGCAACCCGCTGTGTTTAGTTATTGAACTTATAGCTCATAATTCCTTTTCAGAACTTTCATAAAGAGGCAGACCAATGCCTCTCCAAAAGATGCATGTTTTTTTGTTTACCAAAGTCAATTATATCTGTAGGCATTTTAAACACAGCCGTATAATGTGGGAGGGATTCTGACCCACAAGCTGACAAACACCTTGACTGAGCTTGTACAAAGACCAGAATTGTCGTTTTCTCTTATAATTGCTTCCTCTTAGGCTTTGTTTTGAATGAGAAACCTCGGCTTGCAGAGGTGCATATGGTCTTCTTTTGAAGGAAATATGATGAAGGATGGAAAATGAAGCCTTAGTTCAGTTTGGTTTCTGGCGTTATCTCTGTAGAGAATCTCTTTGAATTTTATATGACAGAAATATTGAACTAGCTTTAATGTCAGCTGTGGAAATTTTGTCTGACATAACCCCTCTAGAACTGGACAAGCTTTTTGAGCTATAAAATGTGTTCTTTAAGGATTGATAACTTAATCAACTCTGCTGTATCCATCTGATGATTCTAAAAAAAAATCTGCTCAATCCACTGAAAAGTATATTGATATTCTTTCATTTTCTTGTCTTTTTTGTGTCATTTTCATAGAACTTTTTATACTATATTTATTGTATTTTTTCTTTAACTTAAGATAGAAATAATTTTTGACTTGACTTGAACTGTTTTCAACATTGATAATTATAAGAAATATTTTTTGAGCACCAAATTAGCATATTAGAATAATTTCTGAAGGATCATGTGACACTGAAGACTGAAATAATGGCTGTTAAAAATTCAGCTTTGTCATCACAAGAATAAATTAAATTTTGAAATATATCAAAATAGAAATATATCAAAACAGTTATTTTAATTTGTAATAATGTTTCACAGTATTACTGTTTTTATTGTATTTTTGATCAAACAAATGCAACCTCGATGAGCATAAGAAACTTCTTTCAAAAAAATTAAAAAACTTTCCAACCTCAAACTTTTGAATGGACATATAATATGACAGACTGAATATGCTGTACATAGTGTGTCTTACATCTCCTTCTGGTGGTGAGTAATACAGGCCACTAGGGTCAAACTTGTAATCAGCATTGTCAATGATCTCGGGGGTGTAGAAGATGGAAAGGATTGTGCTCAGGGTTCTGCGATCCCAGTCGTCTGTGACACGACCTCCGTAGTTACACTCTCCTGTCATGTAGCGAAGAGCATCAAAAGGGATTTCCTAATAAGAACAAACAAAACGAGTGAAATTACCATATAACCAAAACTAAACTTAATAATATGAACTATACATAACATGGTGGATAAATCTTGGGATGGTCAGACTAAGTAATCAGAACCACTTAAAGGGAACAGATGACAAATCCACTTCCATGATGAACCATTTTGCAACTCAGCTCTTTTTGGTCTGAGGTGAAGCTAATTTATCAAAAACAAGAGATGTTTGATTCCTCATGATTATGAATCACCTTACTTATCATGAGTGCTATTTATATATTTTTTGAATAGTGTGGCTACATCATTTTGACCATGACTCATGGTGAGGGCTGTGCCCCAACTTTTTCACCCTATTGTTTAGATTGCTTTAAAAAAAGAAAAGAAAAACCCAACAACAACCTTTTCATGTGTCTTAAAAGCATGGCCGCTCAACAAAGGCTCTTTTTTATTAAGTGGAGGTGCATGTCAGGCTGGTGGGTTCGATATAACGATCTTCAGGCGGGATATGAAAAGATGGACAGAGGAGTGGCAGGATTGTGACATTTCCCGTTGAAATTTCCCTTGCTAATGCAGTGGGTGGAACTCCGTAGCACAGGAGAAATGTCAGAGCATTCAGGGAGGCTCTTGATCAGTTTGTGCAGTCTGCTTGTTTTGAAAGGAGGAAGGGAAGTATGACGAGTGCTTCTCTGAAGTTGGGAAAATGTCAAGAATGCTCTTTTTTTAGGGGTGGTTTAAAGGGGCGCGCTGGAAAGCATGAAAAGGAAGAGGGTGACGTGAAGAGTGTGTGTGTGTGTGTGTGTGTGTGTTTCAAGAACAGTAAAAGGGAATTTGTTTGTGTGTGAATACAAAGACAAGACAGGTACACGTGTGATCTTACCTCATACTGGTCCAAGAACATTTGTAGCTGCTGGACTGAGATCCGCAGGTCTGTCTCGTTGAACTCATAAGGGATGTTCCAGCCTAGAGGACCAAATTTTCTCCTCTCCTGGGTCAAGGCGTGGAAGAAGCACAGGCTGAACAGCAGCTTCTTAAAGACAGCCTGAAAACACACAAACAGATGCCACTTTTCTTACACATAACGGAGTTCAAAAATAAACATTAAGACCATCAAAGGATATGCATCATATTGAGAGCACTTTAAAAACCCTCTGTGAAGGACCTACCGGCTTTGAGCTACTGTCAAAGAACTCAGGGTCTGATATGGGGTCCATGTAGAAAGAACGGATGATGTTGGAGCGCAGCCCCTTGGGAGCCTCATTGGTCATTTTGACTCCGTTTTGCAGTACAGCCACAGGAAAGTTGGGAGAGGGGTAACTGGTCAGCCACAAGCGGAAATCTGGGTGAGTGGTATCTGGATTCAGCTCCTGCAGAAAGTCAAAGTGCTGCTTCATTTCCATTGGTGGACCTTGTTTTATGTAGTAGACATGCACACATTGACTATGAACAGCTACCATCCCATCATGTTTGGATCATCTAATCTTTATGTACTACCTCACAGACACGCTCAAGGGTGGACATCCAAGAGGTGGCCAGGTGGCAATTCTGTAAAACCACCCAGGTTCCCTCCTTGACGCCAGTCTCAATCATGCCCATGGCGATGGGACCCTGACCTTGTCCCAGAGACAGGGAGGTCAGTCTGTTGCCTGTGAAACCCTAAACAAAAAGGCAGACATGGTGTGTTAACAATAGAAGAGCATAACCCTTCACACAAGACATCACACATAACAAACCAAAACCCTTAAAGGGGTGGTTGATTGTGATTTCACTTTTTTAACTTTAGTTAGTGTGTAATGTTACTGTTTGACCATAAACAATATCTGCAAAGTTACGACGCTGAAAGTTCAATGTAAACGGAGATATTGTCTCTTAAAATTATGGCAGTTTAATGCATACAGTTACGGCTGGTAGGGACTACAACAAGCTACTTCCTGGGTTGGTGACATCACAAAGCCTGAAATTTACATAAACCCTGCCCCCAGGAACAACAAAGGTAATGTTATGATGTTGCTAAAAATAACATTATTTTGTGTATTTGGTGTAATGAAATGTGTTTATGCGGTTTAAGGTTCAAAAAACACATTATTTTCCACATACTGTACATTATTGTTTCTCCTCTATGCCCCGCCTTTCTGAAACGCGTCGATTTTGAGAATAAAAGTTACGCCTTCTTTCTTTGCGTGAACATTTGGGCGGCGTTATGCAAATCTTCCCACATTGTGACGTAGACATGTGGGGGCGTGTTAGAACAAGCCGTTTTAGGTAGGCGTGGTTGACTCTTAACTTTTATAAAGAATATTTCTTTGGATTTGAGACTTTAGTCTTTGCAACTTTACAGATCTTCTGTATGCACCAAGAGCTTGTAACACTTGAGAGAGAAAGGAAAAATTGAAATCGCATCATATGACCCCTTTAAGCTGGGGACACACTACATGACTAGCGGAAACATTGTAAGACTGACCTCAACACACTTAAAGACCGTTACCATCCACTGGAGCAGATTCTAGTCGATGACAGTCAGAGAGGAGCACAGACCTAATGACTGCAGTCAGTTCACTACACGACACACTTAACAACTGCGGGTCACTCACGACTGGACAAATTCTGCCGAACCAAAAAAAAAAGAAAACTCACAAAAACCGCAACATCTTCCTGTGCTCTTTCAGCCGCTCCCACCCCACCAAAGACAACACTGCAGACAACACAGGTTTGTTTTATTTTTCTTAGTTTGTGCTTAATATAACAGAAAACATTAGCTTTCCTGATATGTTGGTGTTCCTAATAAATGTCACAGCAATGTGTCTTGAATATGTTTTGCATTAAGTCCGATACTTCTCTTTCTTTTTGGAATTATTGCTTGAGTAGATTTTATACCTATGTCTTCTCAGCATTTCTAGCACTATTTTTAAACGTTTAGTCAAGCAACAATATATTAATTATCTCATGTATGTCAGGGATTAAAAATGAATTGGTACTAAGTAAAAACGGTAGGTGTTTTATTTTTCCGTTACACTTCTCGAGGTTAGAACGAAATAAAACATTACTTAATAAATTCAAAGCAATGTAATTTCCTCATCCATTTGACACAAAACTATTATATATATAATTAAAATATATATAATAATTTTATTTCATCATATTCGTGATTTATGATTACTTTATGAAAACTTCATTTTGAAGAATAGAAAAATAGGCTAGGCCTGTTCGTTACGTTCGTATATTCATTTGTTATTAAGTTGATTTAAAATTCTTGATAACAAATTTTAAGAAGTTAAAGGTTAAGAAACGTGGAATTAGCCTGTAGTCTATAGATAGGCCTATAGACTTTTATTAGACTGCAGATCAAAATAAAAGAATTCTTGATAATCTTTAAAATGAGAGAAATCACTGACATAATTTATTGGCTAGTCTATACTTTGCAGAAAAAAAACGAAACCATTTAATTTGCAGTGTTAACTTATGAATTGAAAGACAAGAAATAAATCAAATAAAACAATAACAATCGAGATTTTTCTTGTAATCAAGAAAAAAATATATGACAAAATTACAAAATGAATGCTGAATGATGTTTGACAGTGAACACATCTTCATTGCATAGCTGCATACAATCGCTGGTGTCAGTCGCAAATATTAAACATGTTAAAAAAAATCTTTGTGAAAATGACTGGCAACGACTAGACACCACACACTATGCGACTTTTTCTGCCGACTGCAAACAGCGACTGAGCCCAACTGGAACAGACCCGGTCCGACTGGGCACGATCAGTTATCAATACCAAATTCCATTCATAATCGGCATGACAATCGTGTAGTGTGTTCTCGGCTTTAGAGAAGAGAAAGAGTTGTTGCCATGCCGTCAAAACTAGGGGTGCACAAAAAATCTATTCATATATGAATCGCGATTCTGTCTTCGAACAATTCTAATGGATTCACAAGTTTCAAAATCAATGTTCTAAAGCAGTGCTTCTAATCCTGTTCCTCACGTCCTCTGCTCTGCTCTGCATTTCTCTCTCTCTCTCTCATTCAGATCATCAGCTCGTCAGCTCCATCAATGAACTGTGTTCCAACTTTACACTTTATGTGTATAGACAGACAGATATTTTTCACACAGCTACGAGAAGCGTTAAACATGGATGAGCATGCGGTTGCCATGGTAGCGAGTGCATACTTGCTGGCAAACACTTCTTACTGTTACAAAGTAAACAATTACTTTACAAAAATGCTACAACGCAATCATGTATTCTGCTGTAATAAAACTTTAATCAGGATAAAAACCATATATCAGAAGTTAACATAAGCAGTAGCATTTACAAATAACAGCATGTCTAAAAGTATGAGACAACAACAAACAAAAAAACATACCATTCTGAAACGTCCTGTAAGGGCCGTGCTTGCACAGGTTCTGCTCGATCCTTTTCACTAATATTCTCTGGGTCTCAATCGGGCTCAAATTGATAAGCAATATTGACGATGTCACTGTTTACAATACAACCGGAGCACATGCCGCTGAGGTGAGGGGTGTTACGTTTCTGGACTGCACTCGGCCGTTTAGCGAACCACACACACTGGGCTAGCTAGCCAATCTGAGCCCATCGCGTATTTCTGAGGGAGGGGCTTCATAAAACCAGGAAATCATCAGAGCGTTCACAGGAGAAGGGACAGAGCGGTGTAGAATAAAGGTAAATTAGACTGCACCCCATAAACACAATCAAGCCTAGAAAAAAAGCAGTCAACCACCCCTTTAAAAAAATTACAAATGCAAAACAATGAACCAAAACCCAAAAATCTACAGAGATTTAATGTCCTTAATTGTCCATACCTGTTCTTCACCAAACTTGAGCAGTGCTGCCATGGGATCTGATCCCGGAGACAGGATAAAGATGAGTGGAGCGCAGCAGTGACTGTCAGCAAAAGCCGTGGCCAAATTAAAGGGTGGCACCTCAATAAACTGCTGCCCCATGTTTTCTGACACAAACTCTTGAACCATGGGAACAATCTGAGATGGGTAGAGACGAGGTCTAAGTCCAAATGTGAATTCTTAGTGAGTACTAAACGATATTCATACACAAATTCTTACATTTGTACTACACAGTATTACATCTAACAAACACAACAGTAAAAAAATAAATATTGTGGCATATTACTGCAATTTAAGATTACTGTTTTCTGTGATGGCCAAGCTGAATTGTTAGCAGCCTTTACTCCAGTCTTCAGTGTCACATGATCCCTTAGAAATCGTTTTAATATGCTTATTTCTTGCTTAAGAAACAGCTCTTATTGTGCTGTTCTTTTTCTGGAAATTGCACATTACATTACATTGCATTTTTTTCAGGTTTCTTTAATGAATAGAAAGCTCAAAAGAACAGCATTTATTTGAAACAGAAATCTTTTGTAACATTATGTCTTTACGTTTATGTTTGATCAACCTAATGCATCCTTTCTGAATAAAAGTATTAATTTAATTTCCTTCAAAAAATGTCCTCAAACTTTTGAATGGTTACGTATAAGTCTTTCTGATGTATAATTAGTTAATAATTCAATTTTAGACAGAATTCCAGACCATTTTATTTCCTGGTCCAATCCAAGGTGTAATCGTAAACTCAATAGAAAGATCCTTACCTTGTCTGGCCGTAAGCATCTTATAACCAGCATCCTCTGGAACTGTCCTAGTTTCTCTTGCCACTCTGAAGGGAAAGCAGTGTGGTGGGGGTCCTGCAGAACACACACACAGACCATAAAATGAAAAATCTGGTGTTCCTTTCATACTTCCTCTGTCCATTTCACACCGCTGAGCAGGAAAGAAATAGTGTGTGCTTAATCTCAATGGCACCTTGCTATCGTAAACCTCTTTCCAGCCCTCCCGGAGTCGAGCCAGGTCTTTCCGCAGGCCTTTAAAGCGTTCCATCTCATCCAATCGACAGATCTCATCCCAGGATGTCTTAGGCAGCCAGGTGCAGGGGTTCGAATGAGGGTTATCCAGACCCACACCGCCTGTCAGGAGAAAACGCCATTCCTTCTCATCCACCTGAAAGAGAAAGGAACAGAGAAAATTGGTTATGCATAATGTCATTCAGTTATAATTGCAATGAAAATTCTCCTTCACTTAGTCTCGATACAGTTTGCTTTTCAGCAGTTGTGCTTGATTAAATATCCAACTCAAAAGAAGAGAGTAACAGTGAATGAGTCTTAAAGTTGCCACCAGAAAAGCCGCAGTCTATGAAAATAAATGTACTGGTGCATCGCCCCCACACCACTTGATTCAGGAGCTGACAAAACTACTGACAGCACAATAAATGGATGATAGACACTTGCAACTTGTGTAACAGCTCAGGCATGGAGAGCCAGTGTGAAGAACACATTATAAATCACTTAAACTTCGATTAAACCGGTTAAACTCGTGTTTATGTGGACGAATGTTGCAGGATCATTTAAAATAGGGATGATGTAAATATTGTCAGACTGATGCATGCAAGTCATTAACCTTAAGAGGCCTTGTGTGAGAGTAACCTCTTCATTCTTACTCTTATTTATCAGATGAAGTACTGTCTTGCCTTAGCTTATTGATTCAATAAATCACAGCTGTGTGCGAGTGGAGGCAGTTACTCACGAGCTTGTTGTGTTTGAGTAGGTTGACATTGAGGCAGAAGGAGAAGAGCAGTTTGTCCTTCTCAAACAGAGAGCGACATACGTTGACGTAAAGCGAGTATGTAAAATGGTCCTTCAGAATCTGGAGTCTAAATACACACAGAAAGCGTGGCAGAAATCAGTTCGTTGAGAAGCATTTTGAAAGCATCAAAAGAAAAGTCAAAGAAAACATAGTTTGAGTGATCTGATGTACACTGAACATGTAATGCACATTTTTAAGACTACTACTAGTCATATAAGTATGTTTGCTATAAAAGCTTTCCTATTGCTTTCTATCATCAATGGAATATATCAATATCCTTATACTGTAGATTTTACATTTTATGATCATCATATTGGTGTCTATTGACTAGATGAGTGGTTCTAATTTTTTATTTTTTTACTCCAAGGCCTCTTATTTAAGTTGATATGTATCTCTGGTACTTCTGCTGTAATAAAAATAAATAAACACAAAAATATGTTGTTGCATTTATTTGTTGTTGTATTTTTATAATTAATATACATTTTTTCTGGTTATGGCAAGCTCTATATTGGGTAAAAACTGTGAAAAAAACAAATCCTTATCCAATCAATCACAAAAAATGGAAAAGTCATGGGTCCTTTGAATATTTCTATGGACAGTGTGGTGGCCTGGAGTCAAAAAGGTTGAGAACCACACTTCCCCAGTGGGTCCCGGTCACCACCAGGTTGAGAATCACTAAACTAGATTTGTTGTAAATGTCACTTTAAATAAACACATTTATTTAATACTTTAACACAGTAAAGTATTAAATGAACACCTGCTGCTACTGTAGCAGAGTTTTAAAAGGCACTCTCTTCAGTTTTAGAGATCTGGCTTTGGTGTCTCTGTCCTCTAGAGAATTGGCACTGTGTTCTTTTAACCAGAGGATTCTGCCCTGGGCTGAAGTGTCATAGTATTCCCACAGCTCTCAGCTATCAAACTCACATCAGACCGCCATACTGCCCTAGTAAGACAGTGCTGACGGTAAATAGTCATACAGGGAAACAATGTCTTCACATTCTTTTGTAAAAAAAGCCTTCCCATGCTTGATATCCAGTATACCACAGAACCCATGTCAGAGATAGTCTCTCTGGAAAATGTAATGCCTTTCAATGGATAGTTCACTCAAAAGTGAATGCTCTGTCATCATTTGCTTAGCATCATGTCATTCCAAAACCTGTACGACCTTGTTTCTTCTGTGGAACACAAGATAGTTTGAAGAATGTTTCGACTGTTTTTGGCCATATAATGAAAGTCAGCGGGGTACAAAACATCATTAGACCCCCAATGACTTTCAATGTATGGACAAAAAACAAAACAAAACAATAAAGTGCATTCTGTGTTTCACAAAAGAAAGAAGGTCACAGAAGTTTGGAACGACATTAGAATGTGTAAATTATGATAGACCCTTAATCTGAGCGAACTATCCTTTTAAGTGTCAATGTGAGCTAGATATTCAAAGTGCCTTATAGCTGCAACTTTGACTTTTTAAAGCATGATATAAAACATGAAATGTCCAATTACATAACAGACACAATTTAAATATAATATCTGTAGTGACAGAGTACCTTTGTTCGAGAATGTCATTTTTTTGGGAATTATCAATGGACAGGATGAAGAGGTTGATGAACCATGTTAGAGAGTACTGATACATGGGCTCGATGTTGGCCAGGTCAGCGATGGAGAAAAACAAAATAGCAGAGTGGACAGCAATGGGGGTGTAGCCCAAGCGTGTCTGATCAATCTTCAGCTCAGTAACCTCGGCAATGGCCTGTTTCTCAGAGATCTCATTGGCCAGAACCTTAGAAGATGAGAGGATCTGAACAGCAGTCTCATCTTCTAAAATGTTCCCCTCTGAGGCAGAGAGCACTTCTAAGATTTTATCCTCTATTTCTTTCAGCTGCCTACAAAGAAAAGAGAGAGAAAGTACATGGTTAAACACACACAAATGTACTATACCTGTTCATTTTTTTACACGACTGCACTGCATGCTGCTCTTTGCCCTCACTTCATAAGGAGATCATTATTTACCCAACCTGTCTTGCTTTTATAGACAATATTTTAAGTGAGGAACCCACTGGACTAAACTGTCAGGTTAATTATGTTTCTGGGTGGTACCTCTTGTTCTCAGCCCCCTGTACGAGGAGGGCTTGTTTCTCCTCTTCAAGGTCAGGTCTCTCTCTGGCCACCACAATGCCCAGCAGCTGGTCTTGCATCCCCTCTGGGGTGATCATGAAGTTCAACAGGGTCACCTGAACAGAACATGATAAAAAAACACTGAGAGTGCTGGAGGCGGCTGTTCTTAGAATCCTATTTTTAATGAGAACAGACCCTTGTGTTTATTATTTGCAAGAGAATCATAAGGCTTTGTGGATATGGCATAACCAACCACAGAACTAACGTAAATGATATCCTCCAAGATTTTGTGACTGCTTGCTAATATCAGGCCTAATATTTCTCTGATTACTGGCTAAGACACATGTGAGTCTGCGGTGCAACACATTTTGTGGTATGAAGAATGGTAATCCTTATCTTCCACAACAGTATCATTTGTTTTATCCTGTTGTGAACACTAGATGCTCATCCTAAAAGGGAAATGATATCTCAGGCTCATTAAGGAGTCTACTCTATAGTTGTGAAGGAAACAGCTACAGAATCCAGGTATTTCAATTTTTTCCAAGCATCCAGACCAGCCTGACACAGTAATATTGACTGATTTAGGGCATGACTATTTGTCAGATTAAGGGTGTGTTCAGGAAAACCACTTTGCAATTGCCTTTGGTAACCCTAGTGGCAAATAAATTACACACTTCCCCTTTAATTTTAGCCACTGGTCATTTAGACTGCCTGTAACACTTTAAGACAAAGTACAGCTTGTCCCCCTCGGTCCGTTCGCCGCGGGGCCCCCTCAAGCACGGGGCCTGGTGCGACCGTACCAGTTACACCCTCTTAAGGACGGCCCTGTGCATGTTTATGAGTTTATGATAGAACAGGTAGAATAGGCTATGTTCTAATGACATAGCTAGATGCTTTTTTATGTGTCATGAAAAAAAACTGCATAATTAAAACCAATTTAAAGCAGATTTTATGTAAAATATTGATAAACTCTTAGCTCCTTTCAAAGAGACTATCAACTCTTTTAAAGAGAGAAAGATTCACCGAATTTAACACTTAAGAATTCAATACTAGCAGCATATTAAAATGATTTCTGAAGAATCATGTGAAATTGAAGACTGAAGGTAATGGCTGCTGAAAATTCTACTTTGCCATCAAAGGAATAAATTACATTTTAAAATACATTAAAATAGAAGGGTTATATTAAATTGTAATAATATTTCACAATATTACATATTACAGTTTTTACTGTATTTTTGTAAAATAGATGCAGCCTTGTTGAGCATAAGACTTCTTTCAAAAACATTAAGAAATTCTATCAACCACAAACTTTTGAATGGTAGCATACATTCTGGTTCATTGTAGCAATCTGGGTTTATTCATCCAGCCCATATAGAGCTGTCAGTAAGCGTGTGCTTAGGAGTGTTTGATTAATTGCATGTTTGATACAGTATGACTAACATCATATTTTTATTTAGATGATCAATCTTATATGACCTTGTTTAGAAGCAGACAAATGTTTGAGTGTATCCGTGTGTGACTTTACCAGTAAAGCAGACTCACCTTAACTGAGACCTCAGGTAAATAATGTGGATTTCGTAGCTTGGTTGTTATGTAAAACCGGAAATCTGGAGCATATTCAATAGTGGAATCGCCCAGCCGGATACAGACACTGCCACCCTGTTTAAAAGTCTGTTTCAGTAGCAGGGGCTCAAGTATGGGGTCCAGTTCTTCCCCAACATTTTCCAGCAATACTATAATACACAAGAGATGAATGATTACAGTTAAACCAAACCGAAAATTACAATAAAACAAAACAAAACAAAACAAAAAACAGAGATCTGCAGAAGCATTTATTTGACCTACTCACAAAAAAATAGTCAGGTAGTAGAAGTGGGAACTGAATGAGTGCAGCAGAAAAACAACAACAACAACAAAGAAATTAATAAATAAACTCAATGCAACTCCTAGAGGAGAATGGTAACAAAACAATCCACCTGGGACAACTAAGCACTGGCCTGCCTACGCAAGCTGCCTTTCATCCTAGAGCAGCACCGATGGGAGGAGCTGAGGATGGAAGACATAGGCACCTAAGACCAGGTTACTCGGCTCATTTGCGTATCTCATGTTGCATTTTGGGTCCACCCCTGGGTTTTCTTTGCAAGTGTAAAATTAGACGAAAATTGTGCTTTCAGGCTTAATGCTGCTCCAGGGAAAGAGAGACAATGTGTGCGTTGGATGCACATGTTTTTTGTGGATCAGTGATTTGCGCTTGTTTTCTATGGTGGAGGGGGACCCCTGGGGAGAAATACTGGTATTGCACCCTGAGAGAACTTTTTGATGTTGTTTCTTCCTTCATTAATTTTTAAGTTTGATTTGATCAAAATGAAAAAAAAAAATGGCTTGATTGTCAACCACGCTGTTTGATAATGCCTGACAATGAGCAATATTAAGATTTTTAGAGTATTATAAAAGTAAGCTTTATTTGCATTTTCCGAATACTGCTGTCATAAAGTTTAAAAGCTTGTCAGTATTTCTCACCTGGAGTGCCAAATTGGATGCAGTTTTCTAATGTGCGCACAAAGTCAGCATCACTGAGCTTGATAACGTGGAGACTGTTGGATTTCTCCATGTTCTTCAGCCACTTGTTAGCCTGGCCCTGAGGATCAATCATTAGGGGCCACCTCCTCGCATTACTGCAGGCAACAAGAAAATCTTAAGAATCCTTCACAAACAACAGCTTCCTGGCCATGACAAATCATCTCCATCATTCAAAATTTCTAATAACGCAGGTCATGTATTCAAGAATATCACAATGTTTCACCAAAACAATTTCTACTTTTACGGTATTCCTCTACCCGGCAAGTCATCCAAAAGTCACTATTACTGGTAAATAGTAGTATTTAATAACTACTAAACTATCTAAAAGTTGTATTTTCTGTATTAATCCATCACAGAAATACAGCCTATTACTAATCGTTAATTATAATATACAATGCAAAAAAATAAAAATACTTTTGTCCAAACCTTGTATTAAACAGAGCTACAGAGTGCAATTCTATGTCTTCTGGTAATCTAGTATGTACTTTCAGTTTTAATTAAATAAGTGCAATCCAGTGTAAAAATTAACATGTTTACAGTGACTGACTAGTGAAAATAGTGAGAAGTTTGCTGCTACGTTTCATCAAAACTGCGCTAGAAGAAATCTCATAAAATATGAACATGGTTTGGAACTTTACGGTTTCTTAAACCTTAAACTTCCTAAAATTAAAACAACAAAAAAAGTATTTCAAAATCTGCTTAATAATATAATATTTAATACAAACTGAAGTCTAAAACGGTCAAACCTAAAGGGGTGGTTGATTGCGATTTCACTTTTTTAACGTTAGTTAGTGTGTAATGTTGCTGTTTGAGCATAAAAAATATCTGTAAAGTTACGAAGCTGAAAGTTCAATGCAAACGGAGATATCGTCTTTTACAATTCTGGCGTTTTAATGCCTACAAAAATGGCTGGTAGGGACTACAACGAGTTACTTCCCGGGTCCGTTACGTCAAGAACCCAGAATTTTACATAAACCCCGCCTCCGGGAACACGCAGCAAAGGGGGCGAGGCCATGCTGCGCTGCTTTAGGAAGAGAAAACTAGGGGTGCACGTAAATCTATTCATATATGAATCGCGATTCTGTCTTCTAACGATTCTAACGGATTCACAAGTTTCAAAATCAATGTACTAAAGCAGCGGTTCTTAATACTGTTCCTCGCGTCCCCCT